ACCACGTCCCCAAATCGCCAAGTCCCCAAATTCCAACGTCCCCAAATCACCACGTCCTCAAATCACCAAGTCCCCAAATTCCTACGTCCCCAAATCACCATGTCCCCAAATTCCTACGTCCCCAAATCCCTACGTCCCCAAATCCCTACGTCCCCAAATTCCTAAGTCCCCAAATCCCTACGTCCCCAAATTCCTACATCTCTCAATCACCACGTCGCCCAATCACCACGTCCCCAAATCACCACGTCCCCAAATCACCACGTCCCCAAATCACCGCGTCCTCAAATCACCACGTCCTCAAATCACCACGTCTTCAAATCACCACGTCCCCAAATCACCACATCCCCAAACTCCCAAATTCCGAAACCATCAAATTTCTAACCCACCTCCAACTAACCAAAAATCCCTAAAACCCACCTTATTAAAAAATGCTAATTTCCCCCCGGCTGCAATATTTTCCCTATAGAATTCATATTTTGCATGGACTACACATCCTGCGGGTGCTACTGCGTGCAACCACACATCACCGTCGTGTTTCACCACGAAGATTTGCGTAAGACGTTTAATCCATAAATGACTCGGCCAATCATGCCTCCTTGCATAAGGGATACGCCGATGATTGGCAGATTCGCCTGTGCGTTACGTCTACCAGGTTTGATTACGTAAAAGCTTCTTGTCCGATGGAACCCGGCAAGAATCACCGTGCCTTTCAAACAATTTTTTTTTCCTTAGAACGATCTTTCAAGCAGCGATTTACGCGTGTTCGATCGATTTACGCTTGCGGGAGACATTGTCAATGTGTCCAGCACCGATTTTCTTGTCTTCCGAACACGTTATTGAATTATTGATCGCGACCAAGATGAAGACGTATCTCTGTCGATAGGGTAGGTGTCTGCGACGTGTCTCGATCGATGTTTTCACACTGTGCTTATGCGTTTAGATTAGTATATTGTCCGTGTGTATGTGATTGTCGTATTACACGAGTTTTATTATTTTACTTTTCTTCTACTATAATTTTACTGCTTTAGTATTTAATATTTTATTATCTCACCATCCTAATTTATCCTTTCATTTTACCGTTTCATTCATTCACTACAGTACTATCATAATAAAATATTCTTCTATCGTATTTCACTATTCGCTTTAAGGCTTAAGAATTTACGTAATGGCGTCTCTGACAGTTTACAGCTCACTCTGATTAAAATCGATATACATTATTAAACTATTAGTTTGCTCGATCATTTTATGACCAGTGCTCGAACACTGTATAATATAACGTTATTTAGATGACAGATAAGGGAGATCCAATATGGTGCTTTGTCTTGCTTTCAGCTTATTAGAAGTAAGTTATTATAATTGAAACAGTTATTGCATATACGCTGACATACTCATTTGCAAAATACACTATATTAAGTGTCATAACATTATTCAAAAGATGAGGGGAAATCTGTGCGAAATGGATAGATTGTCAAGAGTAATTTATCATCGTGCGATGATTAAAATTCTTTGGACTTGTTGCTTTTTCGCTTCTAATAATTTAGCTTCTAAATCTACAGGTTTTAATATTACTGTATAATTTATGTTGATACTATATGATTTAATTAGTAAAACGTTACTTTCCTGAAATTAAAGATATTCAATATGGCGATCAACGTCATTTTTATCATTGAGTTGTTAATATTCTTCATCAAGGTTATAGAAATTAATTTTATTGAAATCTATACTTTAAAGTTGCTCTATAAAATGATAAAAATTTAAAGAATAAAAAATGTAAGTTTGCATCACAACAACCAGAAAGCAAATCAAAGAATAATTGGACAAATCCTAGGAAAGCAACCCTGTCCCGATGAAAATGTACAAACAAGAGAGCGGCCATTTCAGAAAATGACTAATAATCGTTTCCTATTCGAAACCGGCGTACAAAAGTCGAATACGGTTATACCTTTGGCGACGGTGAACGCAATTGAACGGATAAGGTAAACATCGAGCTGTAAAGCCGATTCAAGTCGATCGACAATTTCGATCGCGTTCGGTATAGAAACGAGCTCGACATCGATGGTAAAAATAGTATAGCCAGCTACGAAAACGGCCAACGGTGCACACGATTTCACCTGGACGACTCAATCGCGGCAGCGAGAACACCGTGCACAGAGAGATCGGTTTTGTAAACACGAGTTTATCAAACGGCGAAGAAAATGAACGGTTCGCCGGCTAAATCCAACGAGAGAAGCGAAGAAGAGGACTGTTCCGAGAAAGCTGAGGAATCCGCCTCGGACGAGGCCGGGGCACACGACGAGTGGACAAATTACAGGGTGCACGAAATAATGAGGCTCCCGTTCTAGGATGTATACCAGAAATCGGGCCATCTCGCGGCTATAAATCACCGGAACACGGCCGAGCCGCTTCGTAAAACGGCCAATTGACGAGCTCAAGCTCGATGGAAGCGTGGCACGAGGCACCAATCCGTTTCTTCGCTGGCTCTCGAGCTGCTTCTTCTGCTTCTCGGTTTCTTCGCGATTTAGACGGGTTTAGTGGCTTCTTGTGATAGGTTCATGCAGATGGGCTGATTTTTAGGGGCAATGGTGTTGGATGTTGGAGAAATTTGTGGAGAATTTAGTCGCTTAGTTTTGAGGTTAGGCATCTGCATCTTTTCTGATTTAGAAATATTCGGATTTTCAAATTTCTTCGAGTTTTTATATATTTAAATTTGCAAGCTTTTAAGTTTAAAAATATTCGAATTTTTTCGAGGTATGTAACTTTGTTGGCGATATAACTAAATATATCATATAACAAGTATTCAAATGTACAAATCTTGAAATTTTTATATCGTTACAATTTTCAAGACATATAACTATATTGATGATTACAGCGATATACCTAAATTGCCATATAACAAGCTTCAAACTCACAAATCTTCAAATTTTATAATCTTGAAATTTTCAAGTTTTTAAATGAGCAAATGTTTGAATTTTTAAATCATGAAATTTTCAAGACATATAACTATATTGGCGATATAACTAAATTGCTATATAACAAGCTTCAAATGTACAAATCTTGAAATTTTTATATCCTTAAAATTTTCAAGACATAACTATATTGACGATATATGGCAATATAACTAAATTGCCACATAACAAGTATTCAAATATACAAATCTTCAAATTTTATAATCTTGAAATTTTCAAGTTTTTAAATGAATAAATATTCGAATTTTTAAATCTTGAAATTTTCGAGACATATAATTATATTGGCGATTTAACGAAATTGCCATATAACAAGCTTCAAACCCACAAATCTTCAAATTTTATAATCTTGAAATTTTCAAGTTTTTGAATGAACAAATATTCGAATTTTTAAATCTTGAAATTTTCGAGACATGTTACTATTTTGGCGATATAACTAAATTGCCATGTAACAAGCTTCAAATGTACAAATCTTGAAATTTTTATATTCTTAAGATTTTCAAGGTATATAACTATATTGACGATTACGGCGATATACCTAAATTGTCATATATCAAGTACTCAAATGTACAAATTTCCAAATGTTTTAATCTTGAAATTTTCAAGTTGTCAAATGAACAAATCTTCAAATTCTTAAATCCTCAAATTTTTAATGTCACATAATATTGGCCATATAACTAAATTGCCATATAACAAACACTCAAATATACAAGTCTTGAAATTTTTATATCCAGCATATACGAATTTGACAGTGTAATGTAAATAATAAAATAATTTTTAAAAGCAACTAAAATCTTTTGAAACCTTGTAAATGTTTATCTATTAAAATGCGATTTAACAAGGAGAATTATCAAGTGATTAGTAAAACATTTATCAGAGTTTAGGTAGTACCCAAGATCCCGCAGTTTAGAGAGTACAGAAACATTTACCGGGACAAGTTATTGGTCTATTACAAACAATTTAAATGCTTTAATACGCTGACGGAGTTAGGTATTCGAATAGTTAATACGTTTATCTTTTATAACGCTCTTCCGTTCTACATATTTTCTAATTTCATACCATCTAAGATAATCCTACTTTATCGGCCGATTATGCCGTTGTAATATTTTCTACACGTTACTCCGCCTTTAATTACTCTCCTCAACGCGATACTTAACTCGAGATCGTTATTACCTCGGCACTGTGTACGGCATTTCCTTCGTTCGAGACTTTTAACGCGTGTTTTTGCTCCCCTTTGCCGATCTCTTTTATTTCTGACATTTGCACGAATTGAATATTCGTGAAAAATCTTGTCGATAAATGTAACAGTCCTTCCTTTTATTTATCTTCATTTTGCGAGGTATCACAATTTCATTTCTCTTGAAAGTATTTAATAATTTTACTCGATTCGTTTCGCAACTCTATATCTGTTAATGTGAGAAAAGATAATGTACTGGGGAGATATGCGAACAATTATGATACTGACGTATTTAGTGTACTTGTGTACGTTCAAACTTGAAATTAATGAAATTAATACTGCGTGAAGACACAGTTCGTTTGCAAATAATAGTTTGTAATTCATAATACAACCCTTTGTATTTCATAATAATTCACAACAATCATTTATATTTCATAATAATTCATAACAACCATTTATATTTGATGACAATTCATAATAACACATAACAGTTCATATTTCCTAATAATTCCTAATGCTCGCAATAACTCATAATAAGTCACAATAACTCATGATAACACATGATAATTCCTGATAACTCATAATAACTTATAATAATTCCTAACAAGTTCTAATAGCTCCTAACAACTCATAACTCACAATTCTAAAAAATGACGAGAGAAAAGAAACATCAAGAATTGATTAAAAGAAGAGAATGAAAGAGTAATGAAGACATATCAAAGTGAGGTAAAGAAGCGCTTGGTTAGAAGAAAGAAGAAGAAAAACATGACTTACCCATAAATCGCGTCCTTGTCTCGTTTATGGACATCGGGTACCGCGGAAGCAGCAGCCGCGGCTGCGGCCGCGAGTACGTGTTGGGGTGGTTGTGGCGGGGGCGGTGGGTACTGGG